ATGATGACCCTGACAGGGGAGGCATTGCGTACTGGCACTTAACACTCCCACTCAAAAGTGACACATGCCACCACTACCTGTTTTTGAGCAGCCAAATGAAGTCACATAGTTATATTCACTTTTAAAGGGTATGGAAGGAATAGAGCTGAAATAATTATCGACAGTTACTGTGAGTATAACTTCCACAATAAAATCTGCCTTGAGGGATTGTTGTGGGGACAATGCCATTAAAGTGCTATATCAAGATACTTGCAACTACAAGAAAGAGAAAACACCATGTTAATTCAATAAACACTTAAAGAGTAAAGGGAATGTGTTAGCTCATATTTTGGGGGTAAAAGGTCGGGAGGCAGGATTGCTTCTGGTAAGACTGGATTCAGTGTCTCAATGATGGATAGGGCTGGCTTATTTCTGCCTCTCTTTTCTGTATTATGAGATACTAGCTTTATCCTAAGCCTTGCTCCCTTCAGGGCCCCAAGGTGGCTGCCAGAAACCCTTAGGGATGAAGCTCCCTTGTTCACCCAGCAGGGAAGAAAGTTCCTAGAAGTCCTGAGCTTGATAGCAGGGGGGCATGCAACAGGATAGAATCACAGTTGTTTAATAGCTGCTCATTATAAAGAAGAGGTTTTCTTACAGACCCTGGGAAACTGGACAATGTGTTGCAAGAAGAGTAGGCACTGGAGGTAAAGCAGCCCTAGAGCCCAGATGAGCCTGTCACTCAAAAGAAAATACATTTTAAGCACAGATCAAGGACAGTACCTAACCTGAAGGAGACAGCACTCTGGGCTAATCTTTTCCAGAGCTAACCTTTGCAAGGACAAGGACAAGGCAGAACCTGGGAGCTCATTAACTTTAGATTTTCCCACCCACTACCCTATATAGGAGCTTATTGGAAATGAAATGTCAGAGTATCTTTTCAGGTGTTACACCTGCCCCATTCTCAGATTTCTGGCTATCTGGTTAATAAACGCACAACAAAGATTCAACTGCATCTCTACTTATTTGACTCCAGTAATGGCAGGCAGCTGGACCCTTTGGTCCAGTTTCAAGCGTACCTTTGATTGGATCAACCTAAGTCATATACTTAAGGTCGCCTGAGTGGGTGGTGATGGAATGTGGATGAGGGTGGTTTCCCTCAGTCCACTTGCTCAGGTCTCCAAGTCATGTTCCCTGGCACCACATGGATCCCCAAAAGGAAGATGGAGTGTGTGGGAAGCGTTTATACCAGTTTCTGACACTGTTTTTTCTCTTCAAAATCATCTAATATTCTTTTCTTTCAAGTCTCTGCACTTGGTGAAGATATTTCAGTGATGAATCTAAGAAAACTAATTGATCTGAAAATGCTTTGCGAATGGAAAAAGCTGGACAAATGTAGGAGACCATTACTGTTGTTACAGACAAACGGTACTCAACTGAGACACACCAGAATCCTCCTTACTTCCTATATTCTAGCCAAACTGGCATTTTTCTCTTTTCCAGAAACACACCAAACTTGTTTGGGTCTTAGATCTTTGCATATCATCCATGTTCCTCCTTCTCTGAAAGTCTCTGCCCCCAGGCCTATCTGGCTCCTGCTTCCTGACCTTCCTAAACCTCCTCACAATGTTTTATCTTCTTTACAGCAGGTATTACTGTCTGAAATTATTTTGTTGATTTGCTTGCTTATTGTCTTACTCAGCAAACCAGAACTTCATGCCAGAAAGGACTTTGTCTTGTTCACAAATACATCCCCAGCACCTGGCACAGGGCTTGAAACGTATTAGACACAAAGTAAATGGGTGTTTAAGGGCCGGGGGTG